CTTTTCTGGGGCAGATTGGACTCAAAGCAAAATGATATTAATATAAAAGCATCATACAGAATGGCATAATATGGGCCGGCCAAAGCACTCAGGGGATTAAAGTGCCTGCAAGCAGGTGCAGGGGCTTGGACCCCCTGGGGAGACGTACTGAGATGGCAATTGAGACTGGGCGTGGTGGCACGTGCCTGTAATCCCAGCTCTGGGGAGGCTGTAAACAGGCGGATCCCTACGAGTCTGATCTAATAGTGAGACCCTGAACACCCTGTAGACAATTCCAAAAAAAACAGCATAGTATACCAATTCTTCATCATAAATCTCGGGAAATGTAAGCAACACTCTTCATTGATAGACAGAAATAAATTAATGAAGACCTAGAAAAACAAAAATGCTACATTTGAGCCTTTGAAGGACATATGCAAATGGTCGCTTTTCCCCCAAATAATCCAGATTCAACACTATACTTTAAAAGTCTCTAGGGATTCCTTCAGCGCTACTGAATCAAAGGGCTGAGGACAGCTGACATACTTTGGGGAGGAGGGTGGAGGGCTGGCTTTACAGGATTACTAATTATAGAGCCACTGTAATTAAGACAATGTGGCAACGACACAGGACAGATGGACACATGCAGCAATGAAAAGGTAGACGAAGATCTGTGTGTGTGTGTGCACGCGTGTGTGCATGTGCGTGTGTGTGTGTGCGGAATTGATGTAGAACTGCAGAGTGTCAGCAGAGCGCTGTGAAAGGCACTCCTCAGCTGTGAGACAAAGGGGGCGCTCATACTGGAAAAACTAACTTGACCCTTGCATGAAAACACACAGACACACGCACACACGCACACACACACACACACTGCCATTGCCAGATGGGTTACCAACCTGAAATAGAAGGAAAACAATAAGGTTTTAGAAGACAATATGGGGGCTGGAGAGATGGCTCAGTGGTCTAAAGCACCTACTTGAAACAAGCTTGGCAAAGCACAGGGACCGTGGTTCGATCCTCCAGCCCCACATGCCAGCCAGCCCCGCCCCCTGGTGGGCTGAGCTGGCCACACACACACACACACACAATAAATAAATGTAATAAATAAAAATAAATAAATAAAAAAAATAAAAATAAATAAAAATTTAAAATTAAAAAAAAAAAGCAGACAATATGGGACACTATGCATGTTTTTGAGCTAAAGAAAGATGTGTTAAGATAGAAACACACCAACCCCGAACGAAAAGGTATCGCTTTCATCTGCCATTGAAAAACTGATGAGAACTCCGTAAGGAAGGTTCCCATGAAGAGAGTAAACAATACTCAAGGCAAGAGGCGCTATTTGAATGCACATAACAAGGGATTTTGTCCAGAATGTAAAAAGAGCCACCACAAATCCATACAGGCAGATGGAAAATCTGACAGATAAAGATCCGACTAGCGTTCGCGGAGGATTCCCACACGCTGACTGTCTGCGGACAAGCTTCACTTGCGATTTACCAAGGAGATGCAAATTACAACTAGAATGACATACAGCTCATTGCAACTCAGGAGTTGGCTACAGTTTAAAGGGAATCAATATTATATAGTGCTGAGGATTATGTGGGTGAAGGAAACTCCCACTGCTGATCAAGGGAATATACATTAATGTAAATAATTGTGGAGAATGCATTATCTATCAAATTGAAATATGTACATGTCCCGAGACATAATTCTGGTTTCCAGGATATAAAAGTGGGGCAGAAAGCCATGTTTTTTCAAGGGTATCACATACACAAAGGAATTGTGTTCAGCGAGAACAGCCAGGCAGTAATAGTGCAAGGTAAACAGGAAGTCGTGAGCACGGGAGCTGAGTTCGGCTTCCCTGGGCAGCGGGAGCTGGGACTGGGAAGGCTCCTAGGGCTCTGTGCTGCAGCAAATGCCCTTTTTGGGCCTGCCTGGGGCCCCAGGGGGCTGTACGGGGATTCACGAAGGTGCCCATCCACGTTTTATAAGCTTCCTGAATGCATGCGGTCTTCACTAATTAAAACAACTAAAAGCCAGGTGAATGTCTTCTGGGAAAGTCCTGTGCATGTCCCGAGCTGGGCCCACTCGTGCTGTGTGGCTGCAGCCCATCTCCTCGCTGCAAGGTCCATTCTGTCCCTTGTACTCGTAGGTGTCTGGGTGACTCGAGGCCCCACGCTACTCCTCCCTGCCCCCAACTTGTACATCTTCTCACCCTGGTCCCCACTAAGCTGGAGCTTGAAATATTGTTTAGAATTTGCAAAGGCAGAGGAATTAGAGAAGAGGAGGGTGAGAGGTCGTGGGGCAGCAAGGTGGACGGCAGATCTGAGCTGCACCACACTGGGCCGTAGCCATGACGTGGGACGACCGGGACCCTGCCTGGGGCACCAGTATTTCCGAGAATCTTTGTCAGCTGTGACAGCATGTGTAGGTTCAGTGAAGGGCTGCCGGGACCACATCCCAGGAGAGGACGTAGGAAACATGTGTCAGCGCTCATGAGGGGAGCAGTACAGAGAGAAAAGAAAGGCTGGCAGCAGTGACACGACAGGCAGGATCTCACGGGGCCACCACAAGCAAGCCTGCACGGGAAGCTCTGACAAAGCCCCCTCACATCACTGAGATGAAGTAGGACCCAGCACCAGACAGTGCAGGGAGGAGCTGCCTTCAAGTGGACGGCATCTTTTGTCTTTATACGAAAGCCATGGAAAGAAAATTTCCTACGGGGCCATTTCCGACTGAGACACAGGCAGGAAGTGTGTGGAGTGACGGTGTGTCAGTGACACTGGCAGCAAAGGGCTTTCTGATCCTCTGTTTTTTGCTGCTTTAAACCCACTTACAGCCCTTGTGCTGACCATCAAGATTGGCTTTGGATGAAGCAATTTTGGCTCAAGGAGAATGTTACAAGAAAAATTGTAACCCTTGAGTAAAAAGTATCTTGCTCTAAATGAACTTCAGCAACCGGTTGCCTCAAGGACAAGGCTTTGGGGTAAGAGGAGGCCTAGCTGAGCCCCTCAGTACCCCTAAGCCTACCCTTCCTGACATTGGGGCAGCAGAGCAAGCTCCAGCAGAGAGGTCAGGGCTTCGGGTACAGGGAAACAGCCAATGAGAGGCGTGTGTGAGGAGAGACCCGGATGCTGGCCCAGACCTAGATTTTCTCCACAGTTGCTGTAGACGGTGACAAGGTCCTGGTACTGCGGCATGCACCAACTCCAAGCAGCCGTAGCTTGGGAGCTCACTTGTCAGACCCCTGGGGCTGTGGCAGGTTAGCAGAAGCCCTTCCTCTGGGCAGGCCTATAGGTTAGCTGCCCGCATGTGGGCTGACAGCGGGGAGCAAGAGGGCATCGGAGAAGGCCGAGCCAGACCTCATACTGCAGTTGCAGAAGAATAGCTTTGCTTGGGAGAAGGTCCCAGGGCGCCCCTTTCCTGCCTGTGCTCGCCTTCCATTGGCTCCGTCAGCTGCCCCACAACCAGCCAGCCTGCGGAGCGACCAAGCCTTTACAAAGCCATTTTTCACCTTTCCTCCTCCCAGCTGAACCCTTTAGGGATTAGTCAAATTTGGGTGTAAGTCCTTCCCACAGGGTCTCTCTGGCCATCCTTGGACTTTTTCGAGGTCTCCAGGTATTCCTCAGGGCACCTGCTATCCCTAAACCTTGGGTCTCCCTGTGGGTTGAGTGGGGGTTTTAGGCTAGGGTTGGAGCCCATGGGTGACCAATCCGCAGTCACATGACTTAGACGGCTAAGTCATTTGCCCACAAATAAGGGTGAGGATTCTTTGTTCCTCTTGAGAGCTATAGTTTTTGTTACTCTGTAATCCTGGCTGTCATGCATGTGTCTGTCCAACTACCTGGTCCCGCCTCCCTTGCAAAGTCACCTGTGTCCTGGTGCAAATTCAGATGCCCAGCATAGTCAGGTGACACAGCTTATGCCAAGGGGGCCGAGGGAATGTGACGTGGTACCCCAAGAGATGTTAGACAAGCTGTTTTCAACCTCTTTGAAGTTTAGACTGGGAGGAAGGAGTGTCTCTTTATTACTCAGTAAAAACTCACTGGTGCAGACTCAGAATCAGTGAGGAGGCAAAACAGAGAGCATCTCGCTCATGACCTGCTGCCCTGGCATTCTCTAGCCTTTAAACGAAAACTTGCAACTCCTTGAGTGCATTTCTCCCTCTGTGATGGGGCCTGATGGGCAGCAGGAAACACTGAGGCTTAGGAGATTTTGAACCCAGTTTTCAGATCAGAAAGGCGGTCCTAGCTGGAGCCAGTTCCACCAGTCTGTAGGGCAATGAGCGCAGTGCATGGAGAAGAGCACCAGGTCTTCAGGGAGTTTCAGGTCAGGTTGTGACCACAGTTCTGCCATGCTGCAGTTGAGGAAACTGAGGCTCAGAGACACGTGACCTGCTCCTGGTCACTGTGAGTGACAGAGCTGAGAGGGAAATATGTCCTGGGTGCCCTGTGCAGGGGCCACCTTCTCTCTCATGGGGGACAGCACTGCTATGTCCCAGAGAAGCTGGGGTCTGGGCACTGAACTGGGCAGACCTGGTCTGGAGAAGCACTGTGGGTTCCCCAGCAAGGGAGCAGGTGCCTGTGGTTCCCTGAGGCCCGCACAGAACTGAGTCCCTGCACCAGCTGCGCTGGTCTGGTGGGAGGGCTGGTGGCTCTGTGTCTGCAGTGGGTCACCAGGAGGGACCAGTCAGTGACCTCTCTCAGGTGGGAAGCTGGCCATGTAAGGAGCTGTCCTGAAATCCCTCCACATAGGGCTAGTGTCCTAGGAGCCCTATGGCTAGTGTCTCAGCCAGCCCAAGGATCAGGAGCCAGAAGCAGCAGCTCAGTCCTGTGTCCCCATCTGGCTCACCCTCTGCTGCCCAGGGGACAGCTTGCAGCCTCTGCTGGCTCCTGCCCTGGGCCACTGGACCACAGCACACTGTATTGCCATGGCCCCTTCCCCCCTGACGCGTATGCCTCAGCTCTCCCTGGCCCGTGTCCCCAGCCCCAGGCCAGTGCCTGTGTCCTGAGGCTTACCTGGGGTGATTGGGCAGGAGAGTAAGCAGAAGGCGAGCAGCAGCAGGCAGTGGATCCTCATGGTGGCCAGCAGCTGGGCTCTGATGCCGGAGAGGACGAGAGGCTCCCTCGGGAGCTGGCCCTTCAGGAGCTTCCGGAGGCTGGGTGAGGCTCTATTTATGGGGTGCAGGATTGCACAACCCATGGACAGGATAGAGGAAGGTGTGGAAATCTAGAAGTCATAATAACTAACTCTCCTCTCATTTGCCCTGAGTAGACTCCGTGTCACGTGGACAGGTTGCCTCTGTCTGGCTGGGGCTGGATTGAGCTCTCAGGCTGGGAATCCAAAGTCAGTCACTCGGGCAGGCCTGTTTGTTTTCCAGGTTCTGCGAGTCTGAGAGGCTCCCGGGCAGGCTGCTCCCTCTGGGGTTCCTCCCGTAGCAGTACTGCAGGGCTTGAGCAGAGGAGGAAAGAGGCCCAGGCAGGAGGCCGGTGGGTCCAGGTCGCCTTGGCCCCTGTGCTTCTGCAGGGTGGCTTCAGACTTCACCCTTTCACCATGGGTGGAAGTTCTTCCTCACCTCAGGCCGGAGCTGCTCTCCCAGCTCTGTTCTGTGACACCCTCACCTTGAGGGGCCAGCAGTAGGTTTGTTTATCCAACTGGATACAAGGCCCTGGGGCTCTGCACCCTTGACCCCAAGAAAGCCCCCAGCCCACCCCAGAGGGCAGCTTGGTGGGCACTGCCCTGTGCAGCTGCAGTTTGGCATCAGGCTCTCTGAAGATCCTGCTGGGTCCACTAATCCTAACTCCTTTAAAAATATTTGTCATTGACACTGCAATTTGGTGAGACACTTCTAGTGTCTAATCAGGGGTCTTGTTGGAGGCATCAGAAGTGGGCTACTGCAGACAGCCAGAAAGGTTGGTGAAGTGGCTCCCAGAGTCCCTTGTAGGGGTGAGCTGGCTGGAGGCTCAGCTGCCAGGATCACTATTCGGCCAGGCCACAGAATTGTCTGGTGAGGACCATGGGCTTACCCACAGTGCACGCTCCAGTGACGCGGATTTCATGGCCACTGCTGCCCCACCAGCCGGGCAGGCTTCTGCACCAATCCTGGGGTTCAGGGGCCTTCCCTGCACCCCTGTGGGGTGTTTAGTGGGGGGGGCCTCTTTTCCAGCTGACCCTCACCTTGGCCCATTCTCCTGGTGGCCCTGTCTGCAAGCTGTGTCCGCACGCAGCCCTTGTCACAAGACCAGCAGCGAAGTGCTGGGGGCGGGAAAGAAGAATGCTGGGAATTCACTCAGCTCCTTGAGGTGTTTTTCTTTCTCACTCGTCCCTGAAGTGGAGAATTCCCTAAACAGGCAAGCATGTGAGCTATCCTGCGGACAAAATCAACAGGAAAGAAAGAGAAATCCAGGACCCTATATTTCCATGAGTTATTTTTCTAACTGGAGCATATTTTCTTTTTTTAAATATGAAAAATTCCACAGATTTTATTCATTGTATCATTCTTTTGATGTTTCTGTCCGCTTCAGTTTTTATTTTAAAGAGAGAAAATACCAATAAAAACGAAACAGAATTTCAAAAGAAGATGGAAATGAACAATTTTTACTATACTGCATATTGCTGTCTTCCAAAGAGTTGCTGAGATTACCGATATAGGCATTCACACAACATAAGCACTTGCTGTGACTTGGGGTCCCCTGAGAACCAGCCTCATGGTGGCCTCCCTGTGAACTCCCCTGGGACAGGGAGCTGCCATGAGCTGGTGGCTTTGACGGGGGCATCGCAGGGACCATGCCTGGAGCTGCTGGGAGGTGAGGGCCCCAGAAACTGAGGGTGCTCCAGCCCCCGCCTGAGGCCTGCACCTGTGTCTGCCTCTGCAGGCCGGGCCCTGTAGGCGGTTCTGGGAAATCTGCTGCAGAGCAGGGTCTTTGCAGAGAAACTCACCAATTCCCTAAAGCGAAACTTGGAGGAGGCTGAGTCAGATTTCACCTTGGAGAGCAAAGCAGACCCGCCTTCACTCCCTTCGGATTCTGTCCTGTGGACATCACAAGCCTTGGGGTGGGGGGGAAGGCCCTTAGCACAGGTGGAGATAAACAGGCTTTTAGGGACTCTTCCTGGTTTCCCATTAACCTTGCTGTGTCACTTCAGGTAATTTATTCCAGTTACCTGCACTCTCTGTTTTTCAGCCTGGTGTACAAGAGATGCCATTACTTAATCAGCCTATTATTTATTATAGGGAATAAAGAGAAAGAACTGAAAAATCTCTGAACACTGCTGCCGCACACAGCATGAGAACTTTTTACGTCCATAGATGCGGGGAGTGAAAGGCTTCAGTCCCTAGGAAAGAAAAATCTGGACTTTTAGGATTGACTCTGCTCTGACCCTGGAAACAGTGTTCTCAGGGTTTTTTCTAGAGAATCTCACCCATCGTCTGAAGAACTCGCTGTTTTTTTTCTCCGGGGGCAGCCTGCGTTCCAGGGCAGGAGCATCTCAGCTGCATCCCATTGCCCCCAAAAGCAGGCACGAGGGACTGCAGAGAAGGCCCTTCCCGGGCCCCGAGAAGGCCGAGGCATTGTAACCTCGCTGAAGGCTGAAGTGCGCGGGGCGTGCTGTGGGGGTCCTACGTCACCCCCGGAAGGCTCACGCGTGACCAGAGCCACGTCTGGGTTGGGGCAGATGGGGTGTTCCTCTCTCACAGATCTCAAAGGCTGGCCTCTGCCATCGCAGATCCCCGTGTGAGGGAGATGGGCAAAGGACGCTGTGTGCTCAGGCATCAGAAGATGCTCAGGGCCCCGAGAGCCCAGGGAGAGGACACTGAGCCCACCTGGGGAGGGAGACACAGGCCACCCGGGGCAGAGAAGCTGAGACAGCTCCAAGGGCAGCTGAGAGGTGAGCAGGTGGAGGCACCTTGGGAGCGGCATTCAGGTTCAGGGAGTGTTGCAGGCAGCCAAGTTAGATAGAAATATTCTAGGCAGTCAGACAGGGCCAGGTCCTCAAGGAGACAAGATGGAAGACAAGGTGACTTTGCAACTTGGAAGAGACAGACACTCCCATATGGGCCACACCTGAAGACCAAGACAAAAAGAGGAAGCACAGCTATATACTTCCCTAGGGATGGGCATTAGGGATTGATAACCTAAATAGTATCAATCAACTTGAAAGAGCCCAAATGAGTCACTAGCCCAACCCCCAACATGAAGAGACCCTGTTCCCTATTAGTGCCTGCTTGCTACGTGACTCGCTTTCCCATTTGATACTGGATTTAATCAATTTTACCCGAGCAATGGTGCTTGTAATCCCATTGGTTGGCCATAGTTTTGTCTCACCTCCTGCCCACCTAAGCGAGTTCCCATTCTCTCCACCTTAGCCCCGCATGGTTTTACACTATAAAAGCCCCTGGAAGAGACAGCTTCCTGGGGGGAACTACCCGCTTGGATCCCCCTCCTGTCCCTGTCTTGGACAGGAGCTTTATCTCAATAAATATATTCTGCTCATAACCTCCGTTTGTCCCTAAAATTCATTCTTCGGTTTTAGAGAACACGAACTTGTGCAGGTCAGGTCCAGAGATCGTTTTTCCCTATGTCATTTGGAGGTTCCCTATATGGCTTGGAGGTCACTCACCCAAGATCAGTTTTTCTCCCTGTATCAGGAGGACCACAGGCAGTGTGTGCACATGCGTGTGTGTGCATGCATGTGTGTGCATGTGAGTGTACCATAATAAAGATTTCTTCTACCATAATAAAAATTTTCTTCTTAGGCCAGAGGGAGGCTTTGGAATAATCTGAGGACATAAACACACATATCAGCCTTTTGGAACCATCCTGGGACAACCATGGAGCTCCACGGCTCACGATCCTTGGGCCCAGGATGGGACTCGGGAGGGTGGTGGATTCTTGTCCCAGGCCTGGGCCGTGAGGCAGTGGAGCCAGAGCTGCAAGCACGGAGTAGAAGGCGAGGGCCTCGGGCTCCATGTTCTGTGTTCCAGCAGGGCTGAGAGTGGTTCAGGGAAGGAGCCAGTTTCGGGCAAACTGAAGATCCTGGAGAGAGAGGCTGGGAGAGGGGCTCAGCTGCAAGCTGTGGGAGTCAACGCCATGGCCTCACTGGGATGGGGTCGGGCAGTGAATGGGGCTGAAGGCAAAGGCTGAACCTTCCTGTGTGGACGGCTTCCCTTTCCTTGTACTCTGTGTGGAGAGCCTGATTCCTGAGTGTTCAGAGGAGTGAGGGTGCCCACTGTCCGAGGGAGCCCCGGCGAGCCGGGCATGCACCCAGCTTGAGCCTGGGTTGGTTGTAGTTCGCTACAAGTTTCCACATGAACTTGGTTCTAAGTGGACACAGCTGCCTGAGCAGTCCGGACTCTTTGGGGCTCAGTCTCTGTCCCTCCAAAACCTTGTGTGCGCAGAGGCTGGGCACTTGAAAGGTGCCTGGGCTGTGCCGAAGGGCACTATTCTCATCAGTGGCCTCAGCTGTGGGAGATTCCGTAGCTCGCTGTGCTGTGAAAGCGCTGGAGCCTGCCTGGAAGGTGACCGAGATACCTCCTGCTCCCCTCCACAGTCAGGTGCTGTCCCCTGTGCTCCCTGCTTCTCCTTGGGCCCCCTGGGGCTTTGTGTCAGATCCTTCCTCCCTGTCCTTTGCTGTTTACCAAGGGCTGAGGCCTGGGCCGCCTCTGCAAGGTACAGCAGGTGGGGGTGCTCAGCAGCAGCAGGGCCCAGAGAAGGGGTGCTCGGGCGGCTCTGCACATGCCCAGGTGCTGCTCCCATCCCCTTTCTGAGGCGTCCTCCCTGACCTCTCTGCCCCCTGCCCTGGTCCTGGCTGGTGCCTCTTGGGTCCTCCTGGTTCCCTCGTTGCCCAGCAGACTGGCTGCCACCCGTGGGTGCAGTGAGGTCTGAGGTTTGCCATTAGTAGGACCACACTGTCTCCTCCCACGGGTGAACAGAGTTGGGCATAAACAACCAGTTTTGGGAGAAATGAATAAATGAAAGGGCACTGCTGTGGGCGGAATCCACCCTCCTCAGCCCCCGTGGAGAGTCTCTACCCCAGTGTGACTGCATGAAGGGAACACTCTCTCCAGGAACCTGTCAGCCTGAGCCTCCTTTGGGACCTTCACCCTCCAGGATGGAGGGAATGAATTTCTGTTGTGTAAGCTGCCAGCTTGGCACGCTTGCCATGGTGACATGCGTACATTCACCCCAACCTCTTGTCACCC